AAGGGGGCTTCTGATGCAGACCCCCACAAGCAGTGGGCCAGTGTTGTGAGGAAGAGGCCCTTTTGCTCATCAACACGTGGTCAAGTTGCTTTACCAGGTGGGGGGGCCCCCATGGTAAGAACATGTGGCCTGGTATGGTTCAGGAAGGAAGGCCACATCCTTTAGATTGTAAGCTCCATGAGCCGGGCCCTCATATTCCTTCTGTACTGAAATGTATTGTAATTGTACTGTCTCCCTTATATTGTAAAGCGCTGAGCAAACTGTTGGCGCTATAAACCCTGTATAATAATAATAAATTTTTAACACCCCTTTCTGGCCTGCTAGATTACATGCTCAAATCAGGGTTTGGTATGGAATTTGGGATGTAAGGGACTCAAGCATTGTTCTTTTTTTTTGTTTATTGGGGCCATAACAGAACATCTCTAAGGAAAAGTGTTTTTTATATTTTTTTTGAGGGAATCCCTTGCCCCTAAGCCATTTTTCTTTTTTTCATGTGGGGGACTCTTATTGACATTTATACCAGACCCTCATCTAGGATAAGGAAATCCCCAGCTACTTTGTTTACAAACACGAGTTTGGCATTTGCTGGCTTTTTACAGTTTTTTTTTTTTTAATTATTTGTAAATGTTGGTTTTTTTGTATTACGGTTGTATACATCATACAATTTTAGGTTTCCCATCACTTCCTTTCCCAGTAACAATGGTCCCCACAATAAATCTCACCAGTATGAACACAGCCAGTTGTGAAAACCACAACCTTCTTCTATAAATACTTGTAGCTTTCCTGCCTCTGGTTTTCAATCTTTGAATCGCTGACCAAGGACAAGCAAGTGAAAAATAAACTGTTAATCTGTATACTTGTGCTGGTTGGGCAACTGACAGTACTAAAACCATAGGACCAGTATGACAGCCAGGGAGCTAGTATTCACAGGAGGAGAAATTAGCAATAGCAACCTATATTTTTTTTTTCAGTACATACACAGCAAAATGTAGAAACTTCACACAAAGACCTCAATAAAATAAAGGTGTGGTCAACTACATGACAATTGAGGTTTAATGTAGAAAAATTTAATCAATGCACTTGGGGGCTAAAATATGAATGCAAGTTACTCACTAGAGGGAGAACCTTTGGCAGAATCCCGAATGGAAAAAGATTTGGGGGTCCTAGTGGATCACAGGTTCAGAAATGGCATGCCATCCCAAGCAAAACAAGGAGAATGTTATCATGCCTTAAAAAGGGGATTTACTCCGGAGGTAAAACTATGATTGAACCACTTTACCAAACTGTGGCCACATCTTGAGTATGCCATCCAGTTCTGGTCACCAGCCCTCAGGAAGGATGTGCTGGAACTAGAGAGAGTCCAGAGAAGGGTAATGTCATGGATAAAACCACACGTCTAGCTAACCAAAGGGTGGTCCACCCATGACTTGGGGTAAAGAGGGAATGAGGGGGACTTGAGCATATAAGACTGGCCATGATACACTTTCACAGCCCTCACTACCTCTGGTCACCACTAGAGGGAGACTCCACTCCAATCTAGCTGGCTGACCACACACAGGTAGATACGAATCTTATCTACAATCTGGTGAAGTCTAAGGGTTGGGGAGCAGTCTAGCAATTGGCACACCCTTCTAGGATTCCTCCAGCTATCCTACAAGCTAGAACCTCGGTGTTAATCACTCATCCACTGTCCACACACCCCCACACCAGACACACAACAAACGGTAGCTTTCCACCACCCAACAGTTTTTCCCGTAGACTGGTCTGCTGGGCCACCAAATACACACAGATCTCCGTCTGACAGATCTGCTACTTTACAATCTGCCAACACGCAGTGCATTTGCATACAGATTGGCAATGAACTTAGACCGATCACATAGACACTACAATACAACAATCTCTCCAGAGATATGAGCCCGAGCTTAAGTACACAAAAGTCATTATTAATTTTATGATTTAATATCCTGAAAGTGGGCAGTGCATAAAATATGTACTAAGAAAAGAGTTACAGAAAGTACAAACAAGACAAAAAGACACACAATTGGCTATTCACTATGAAGAAAGTCCGCGAATTGCCAGCCATATGGAACCAGCTCCTTACGAATCACACTGTCCATATTTAAGGGTCCTCAATTTATTGAAATATGGATGTGGGCTGGACTTTAGCCCTTGGCCAATCAACCCTGGGAGATGTTCCTGTGCCAGCCCACAGGACGTTCTGTGTTCTGAAGTGCCCAGAGCTCCATGGGCCAAGAACGGTTTGGATCACTGGATCAGGGATAGGATTTCCGACACCAGCGCATCAGTCTGATCACGACAATACCAATCATTGGTCACAATCATGTTGCAATCAGACACCATATAACCGTTTTTGGGTGGTTCTCTGGTATTCTAGAGGCTACAAATACAGTTTTACATGTAGATGGAGCCTACAGTGTGTCCAATCAGAAGGAATTATTTCCATCTCTCTGCAACTAATATTTTAGCTTTTATGAGAGATGAAATAGATTCCTCTGATCAATTGATATAAACTCAAAGCTGGCAGACATTCCAGAGCCTTCTCTTGGTCTCCTACTGACTCTTGTAGCCAAACTGACTGGGATTCTAGGACTAGGGGGTGGCAAGCCCTGGATGTCACTGCTATCCCTAACAACCGGGAGGGAAGACCATCTGGGAGGGGTGGTGAGGGTAGTGCAGGAAGGCCTAGACAGCTGGTGGTAGTAGGGGATTCTATAATCAGAAGGACTGATAGAATAATTTGTCACCAGGATTGCCTCAACCGAATGGTTTGCTGTATCCCTGGTGCCAGGGTTTGGCATGTGGTGGACCGGGTTGATAAATTATCAGGAGGGGCTGGGCATGACCCAGCTGTCTTGGTTCATGTTGGAACCAATGACAGAATACATGGAAGGTGGAGGCTCCTTAAGAATCAATATAAAGAACTAGGCTGCAAGTTAAAGGGAAGGACCTCCAAGGTGATATTATCTGAAATATTACCTGTGCCATGCGCAACTCAGGAAAGACAGGGGGAGATTAGAGAACTCAATGCATGGCTGAAGACCTGGTGTAAGAGGGAAGGATTTGGGTTTCTAGAGCACTGGGCTGACTTTTCTTTGGGGTGCAACCTATATGCTAGAGATGGTCTGCACCTAAATGGAAGGGGTCTGCTGTGCTGGGGGAGAGGTTTATGGGAAGGCTGGAGGAGTATTTAAACTAGGATAGGGGGAGGGAGAATTAGATTATAACGGGGTAGACAGATCAGACAGGGGTCAGTACTTATTGGTAGGTGGAATGGGGAAAGATGGGGGGGAAGGCTATGGCAGATGATAAGAATGTTCCCATCTTACAAACAACCAGCGGAATTGGTACCATTTGTATGAAAATAGAAAATATGCAAAACACGTGTGAACAAGGTGTCAATGCATTACACAAGCATGCAAGTGTTTGTTCACCAATGCCAGATGTCTGCCAAGCAAAATAGGTGAGTTAGAAGCTTTGGTGCATGAACATAACTATGATTTAATTGGTATTGCTGAATCTTGGCTTTATTCTTCACATGACTGGGCCATTAATATTCCTGGCTATGTTCTCTTTCGGAGAGATGGGGTAAATTGGAAAGGTGGTGGTGTCTGTCTCTATGTGAGAAGTGATCTCAGAGTGAGTGTGAAAGAAGACCTAGTTGATGGAGAGTGTGATGAGGCTAAACTATTATGAGTGGAACCGCACAAGGGGGTGCGTACTACAAAGGTAATCATTGGAGTTTGTTATAGGCTTCCCAGTATTAATGAGGAGGTGGAAACTCAGCTCCTTGCACAGATCTAAAGGGCTGCAAGGGCTGGGACAGTGATAATAATGGGGGATTTTAACTACCCAGAAACTGACTGGAGTAATGGTACTGCAGGAACAGTTAAAGGGCAAACATTTTTAAACCTACTACAGGACAATTTTATGGTACAGTTCATAGAGGCCCCTACTAGGAATGATGCTCTGCTGGACCTTTTAATCTCAAACCATGCAGAGCTTATTATGAATGTCCATATAAAAGAACATCTGGGTAGCAGTGACCATAACATGATTTCATTTATTGTTAGCTGTAAACAGCGAGGACATACGGGAAAAATAAAAATGCTCAATTTCAAGAGAGCTAATTTTCCAAGACTCTCCAAGACTTAGACTGGGAGGGAATATTGGCATCGATGAACACAACACAGAAATGGGAGTTCTTCAAAAAGACTGTATGTGACCACACTGCAAAATATATTCCCATGGGCACCAAGTTTAAAAGGCTAAAATTCAAACCTATGTGGCTTACGGCCAAAGTTAAAAAGGCTATAGATAATAAGAAAAGAGCTTTTAATAAATATAAAAAATGAAGGAAAGCTATCATTGTTTAAACATTACAAAGAATATAACAGAATATGCAAAAAGGAAATAAAGAAAAGAAAATTGAAAATGGATGACAGATTGAAAAAGATAGCAGGACCAACCCAAAAAAATTCTTCCAATATATTAATAGTAAAAAGGTTTGGTTTGAGCATGTAGGCCCTTTACAAAATAATCTAGAGTGGGTGACTGGGGACAAAGAGAAGGCAAATTTATTTAATACCTTCTTCAGCTCTGTTTATACAAAGGAGCATGGGGGAGCTCTTGTCCATAATGGACATGGTACTGACACAGCTCCAGTTGATCCACATTGGCTCACAATTGATATGATCCAAAAATATTTAGACAGAATAAAGGTGAATAAGGCACCTGGACCGGATGGCATACACCCACGGGGGCCTTAAAGAATTGAGCTCTGTCATTTCAAAGCCATTGTTTCTAATTTTTAGGGACACTTTAATGACTGGCATAGTACCACTGGATTGGCGTAAGGCCAATGTGGTGCCAATATTTAAAAAGGGGTCAAAATCTTTACCAAGTAATTATAGACTTTTAGTTTGACTTCTCTAGTTGGGAAGATACTAAAGAGTTTAATAAAAGACAACATAGATGAGTTCTTGCTGGAAACAAATATGTTAAGCAACAGGCAGCATGGATTCATGAAAGACAGAAGTTGTCAAACAAATCTGATTTCTATTTATGAGGAGGTAAGCAACACCTTGGACAGAGGGGTGGTGGTGGACGTGGTATACTTGGACAGAGGGGTGGCAGTGGACATGGTATACTTGGACAGAGGGGTGGCAGTGGACGTGGTATACTTGGACAGAGGGGTGGCTGTGGATGTGGTATACTTGGACAGAGGGGTGGTGGTGGACGTGGTATACTTGGACAGAAGGGTAGCTGTGGACGTGGTATACTTGGACAGATGGGTGGCAGTGGACGTGGTATACTTGGACAGAGGGGTAGCGGTGGACGTGGTATACTTGGATTTTGCAAAAGCATTTGACACAGTTCCCCACACACGGCTAATGTGTAAGGTAAAGTCTACAGGCTGGAAAAATCTGTCTGTAAATGGTTAGAAAATTGGCTAAAAGATGGTATTCAGAGAGTAGTGGTTAATGATTCATACTCTGAATGGTCTCGGGGTGTCAGTGGTGTACCCCGAGGTTAAGTGTTGGGATCCTTACTTTTGAATATACTTATAAACAATATAGGGTCTGGGATTAAAAATCCCATTTCAGCCTTTGCAGATGACACCAAGCTGTGCAGTGGAATAACGCCCTTACAGGATGTCTCCAACTTACAAGCCGACCTCAATGCTCTGTGTAATTGGGGGACTATGGGGCCAATGAGGTTTAATGTTGATAAATGTAAGGTTCTGCACTTGGGGGCTAAGAATATACATGCATCATACATACTAGGGGGGTACAACTGGGGGGGGGTCAGTGGTGGAGAAGGATCGGGGGGGTCAATGTGGAGAAGGATCTGGAGGTTCTGGTAGATCACAAGCTTAATAATGGCAGCAATGCCAAGCTGCGGGTTCTAAAGAGAGCAAAATCCTCTCTTGTATTAAAAGAGGTATAGACTCCAGAGAGAGAGATATCATTCCCCCCCCCCCCCCCCCGGTACAAATCATTAGTAACACCTCATCTGGAATATGCAGTTCAGTTTTGGGCACCAATTCAGAAAAAGAACATTGGGGAACTGGAAAAAGTACAGAGAAGGGCAATCAAACTGATAAGAGGCATAGAGGAGATCAGATATGAGGAAAGATTAGAGGGACTGAATTTATTCTCTCTTGAGAAGAGGAGATTAGGGGGATATGATCTCCATGTATAATACATAAGGGGGATATGATCTCCATGTATAATACATAAGAGGGGGGATACAATCTCCATGTATAATACATAAGGGGGGATATGATCTCCATGTATAATACATAAGGGGGGATATGATCACCATGTATAATACATAAGGGGGGATATGATCTCCATGTATAATACATAAGGGGGATATGATCTCCATGTATAATACATAAGGGGGGATATGATCACCATGTATAATACATAAGGGGGGATATGATCTCCATGTATAATACATAAGGGGGGATATGATCTCCATGTATAATACATAAGGGGGGATATGATCTCCATATATAATACATAAGGGGGGATATGATCACCATGTATAATACATAAGGGGGAATATGATCACCATGTATAATACATAAGGGGGATATGATCTCCATGTATAATACATAAGGGGGGATATGATCTCCATGTATAATACATAGGGGGGATATGATCTCCATGTATAATACATAAGGGGGGATATGATCTCCATGTATAATACATAAGGGGGATATGATCACCATGTATAATACATAAGGGGGGATATGATCACCATGTATAATACATAAGGGGGGATATGATCTCCATATATAATACATAAGGGGGGGATATGATCACCATGTATAATACATAATGGGGGGTATGATCTCCATATATAATACATAAGGGGGGATATGATCACCATGTATAATACATAAGGGGGATATGATCTCCATGTATAATACATAAGGGGGGGATATGATCTCCATGTATAATACATAAGGGGGATATGATCTCCATGTATAATACAGAAGGGGGGATATGATCACCATGTGTAATACATAAGGGGGATATGATCTCCATGTATAATACATAAGGGGGGATATGATCTCCATGTATAATACATAAGGGGGGATATGATCTCCATGTATAATACATAAGGGGGGGATATGATCTCCATGTATAATACATAGGGGGGATATGATCTCCATGTATAATACATAAGGGGGATATGATCTCCATGTATAATACATAAGGGGGGATATGATCTCCATGTATAATACATAAGGGGGATATGATCTCCATGTATAATACATAAGGGGGGATATGATCTCCATGTATAATACATAAGGAGGATATGATCTCCATGTATAATACATAAGGGGGGGATATGATCTCCATGTATAATACATAAGGGGGGGATATGATCTCCATGTATAATACATAAGGGGGATATGATCTCCATGTATAATACATAAGGGGGATATGATCTCCATGTATAATACATAAGGGGGGGATATGATCTCCATGTATAATACATAAGGGGGATATGATCTCCATGTATAATACATAAGGGGGGATATGAACCTCCATGTATAATACATAAGGGGGTATGATCTCCATGTATAATACATAAGGGGGATATGATCTCCATGTATAATACATAAGGGGGGATATGATCTCCATGTATAATACATAAGGGGGATATGATCTCCATGTATAATACATAAGGGGGGATATGAACCTCCATGTATAATACATAAGGGGGTATGATCTCCATGTATAATACATAAGGGGGATATGATCTCCATGTATAATACATAAGGGGGGATATGATCTCCATGTATAATACATAAGGGGGATATGATCACCATGTATAATACATAAGGGGGGGATATGATCTCCATGTATAATACATAAGGGGGGATATGATCTCCATGTATAATACATAAGGGGGGATATGATCTCCATGTATAATACATTAGGGGGGATATGATCTCCATGTATAATACATAAGGGGGGATATGATCTCCATGTATAATACATAAGGGGGGGATATGATCTCCATGTATAATACATAACGGGGATATGATCTCCATGTATAATACATAAGGGGGATATGATCTCCATGTATAATACATAAGGGGGGATATGATCTCCATGTATAATACATAAGGGGGGGATATGATCACCATGTATAATACATAAGGGGGGATATGATCACCATGTATAATACATAAGGGGGGATATGATCTCCATGTATAATACATTAGGGGGGATATGATCTCCATGTATAATACATAAGGGGGGATATGATCTCCATGTATAATACATAAGGGGGGGATATGATCTCCATGTATAATACATAACGGGGATATGATCTCCATGTATAATACATAAGGGGGGATATGATCTCCATGTATAATACATAAGGGGGGATATGATCTCCATGTATAATACATAAGGGGGGGATATGATCACCATGTATAATACATAAGGGGGGGATATGATCACCATGTATAATACATCAGTGGTTCATATAGTGAACTCGGTGTGTAGAGTTATTCCCCCTGAGGTCATCACAGAGGACAAGGGAGCGCTCTTTACATCTGGAGGAAAATAAATGTAATCTCCAAACACGGAAATGTTTCTTCACAGTGAGAGCTGTAAAAATGTGGAATAGACTCCCTCGAGAGTTGGTTGTGGCCAGCTCAGTGGATTGCTGTAGGAAAGTCCTGGATTCTTTCTTGGATACACAGAATATAACTGGATATAACATTTATAGGTAAAGTTGATCCAGGGAATATCCGATTGCCTCTCGGGGGATCAGTAAGGGATTTTTTTCCCTGCAGGAGCCAATTGGATCGTGCTTTGCTGGGTTTTTTGTCTTCCTCTGGATCAACTGTGGGTGTAGGATTATAACTTTTTTTTTATGGTTGAACTGGATGGACTTTTGTATTTTTTCAGCCAGACTAACTGTGTAACTATGATTCTTCATTGAGGTTCAAGAAGGTGGCAAGCTCTGGCTACATAGGTGAGAATGTTTTATTGGCATCCAGGTGATAACTCTAGCTTAGAAGCAGGGGCGGACTGACAACTCATGGGGCCCCCCCCCGGCAATAGGGGATCATGGGGCCCTTGTGTCCTTGCCCAAACTCAAAAAAGCCTATGAAAAAGGTACCAGGGGCATCTCATGGACCTTCCTACTGACCCTGGGCCCTCAGGCAGTGCCCGAGTTTCCAAATGGTAAGTCCGCCCCTGCCTAGATGCTGCTCTGTCCTTTCAGATGCTAATAGGTGAACACATGTCTCTGAATACTGAACACTTACCTTTAATACACGAAACTAAACTAGATCTACAATTACATATTTCTACTCATCACATTTCAACTGCTGATAAAATGATTCTATTCTTACATTTATATTACAGGCAACAAAGCTAGTGAGAAAGTTGGAGGCTTCAGGTATGAGGAACGACTACAGACATGCAACTTATTCTCTCTGGAGAAGAGACGCTTAAAGTGAGAGAAAGCTCCCTTGGTTGAGTTTTACCTATAGGTAAGCCTATAAGAATGCTTACTCTAACGGAACCGGACCCTGCACTTGGGTACTTCCGTTAGACTCCCGCTTCCCTGTCCAAACACCGACCACAGACACCACCGCTGACCATACAAGACTAGACACCAGTCTTGAAGCAAAACCAGGAAATAGACTGCTTTATTTTAAACACAGATACAAGATATATACATTCAGGGGGACCATTCCCCCTCCCTGCATAATGACACAGGGCGGGGCAAACCACATCTAGCAACAAGAGAAACACCAGCAGCCACCCCCCACCAAGCCAATACACAAACACATACATCCCATAATAGTTTTCTCCCAAGCAACACACACAATAGAACAATGGGATGCAAACACATGGCATTAAACAATCCACAACCCCCACCTATCTCCTAAACATGTCTACACAATATTAGGACAGATCACCCTGTACCCCTAACAGGCACAGGGTGACTTACACATAAGAGGGATATGGGTAGCTGAGACAGGGGTCCCCCCACCTCTCCAAAGTAAGCTGGGTTCCATGGGCCCCCCACCCAAGGTGACTCCAGTCACACTTACCTATAGGTATAGTAAATATTTCCTATACATGAACTGTTTAGGAGTTATTTACTGTGGCAGCAGCCAGTGACCTCACCAATGCATACGCTCTGAAGGAATGACATACCCCTGCCGTTCCTTCAGACCCCTGTACCTTGAAGAGTGACTCCACATTGATGCGCAGAAGTGACGTCATCATGGCTCAACCATCCATACCGTTGGTGCCCCCAAGCCTGGTGAAGATGGAGGCGCTTACAGCGGTGACAGAGCACCACTGGAGGGCTTCATTTCAGGTAAGTCTGTCATAATGTGCAAGTAGTACATTATGACCTAAACTGCCTGGGGCCCTTTTTTTTCTTAGCTGTGGTTTACTACTGCTTTAAGAATGGATATGATAGCAGCATACAAATATCGTAACCTCTTCCCATCAGGCCCATGTCAATAAGCGGCCGGACAGGAGTGCAGCCGATGCGGGTGGATGCTTCTAAACTCCCCCCTGCATCCATTGCCTGTGCGCACTTCCCGGGAATGCACGGCACCATGAACACAGAATGCTGTACGCTGTGTGAAGTTCTGATTCATGTGGTCACTGATTGGCCAATCAGTGATCACATGAACAGTAATAAACATGATGTCACTTCCTGACATCATTGCTTACTACTTGTGAAATCTGTGAATGAGCATAGAGGTCACACGGTACAGGGCTATTCACAATAGCCTTGTACCATGTGACAAACTGTGACCAATCACAGCTCGCACAGTATTCTCAATGGCTGCAGGAATGCAGCCAGAGAGAAGGAAAAATTATTGCTTTTACAGCCTTTATGGGTGTAAAAGCAATCAGTGTAAAAAAAGAAAAAAGAAATCTTCATCACCCCCCCCACAAGTAGTACAGTGTCTCTATGGTGACACTGTACTGCTACGGTGAGAGTATGTTGAAAAAAAAAAACAAAAAACAAATATTAAAAAAAAAGTAAAAAAAAAATTTAGAAAAATAATAATTTTTTGGTTATAATCTAATTTGGGTTATTTTTCTTTTACTAAAAAGATAACTGAATACATTTTGGCCAAGATTTATGAAGAAAGATTATTTATTTGCAAAATTTTATAAGAAAAACACTATTTTTTTCAAAATGTTTGGACTTTCATTTATACAGAAAAAATATAAAAATCCCAGCGGTGAATAAATACCACCAAAATAAAGTTTTATCTGTCTCAAAAAAATGCAAAAAAATTCATATGGGTACAGTGTTGCATGACCGTGTAATTGTCATTCAAAGTGTGATAGCGCTGAAAGCTGAAAATTGGCCTGGACAGGAAGGGGGTGAAAGTGTCCGGTCTGGAAGGGGGGGAAAGTGTCCGGGCTGGAAGGGGGGGAAAGTGTCCGGACTGGAAGGGGGGGAAAGTGTCCGGACTGGAAGGGGGGGAAAGTGTCCGGACTGGAAGGGGGGGAAAGTGTCCGGACTGGAAGGGGGGGAAAGTGTCCGGACTGGAAGGGGGGGAAGTGTCCGGACTGGAAGGGGGTGAAAGTGTCCGGACAGGAAGGGGGTGAAAGTGTCCGGACTGGAAGGGGGGGAAAGTGTCTGGACTGGAAGGGGGGGAAAGTGTCCGGACTGGAAGGGGGGGAAAGTGTCCGGACTGGAAGGGGGGGAAAGTGTCCGGACTGGAAGGGGGGGAAAGTGTCCGGACTGGAAGGGGGGGGAAAGTGTCCGGACTGGAAGGGGGGGGAAAGTGTCCGGACTGGAAGGGGGGAAAAGTGTCCGGACTGGAAGGGGGTGAAAGTGTCCGGACTGGAAGTGGGGGAAAGTGTCCGGACTGGAAGGGGGGGAAAGTGTCCGGACTGGAAGGGGGGGAAAGTGTCTGGACTGGAAGGGGGGGGAAAGTGTCCGGACTGGAAGGGGGGGAAAGTGTCCGGACTGGAAGGGGGGGAAAGTGTCCGGACTGGAAGGGGGGGGAAAGTGTCCGGACTGGAAGGGGGGGAAAGTGTCCGGACTGGAAGTGGTTACTGGTGATTCTAGTATGGAGAGGAAGCTATTCAGTCTCCGGTCACTGAGGTCACTCAATGAAATTGGAGGAAAAGCTGTTTAACCTTAAACTGTGTAGGGGGTCCTTTATTGTCAGAGTGGAAAGGATGTGGAACTCCCTTCCACAGTGGGTGGAGTCAGCAGAGAAAAATGTCAAAAACTCTTAGTGAACATAATATACAGAGATATGGAAATGGTTTTAGCATAAACACACAGACCCAGACAGGTTGAACTGGTTGAGGTCTTTATTCAACCTTATCAACTATGCAACATTTTTCCTTTTATGTCTTTATCAGTATTGCTGTATGAGTATGAGACCTTCGCCCTCCAAAGTAGCTCTATTACTACTAAACCCACAACAGTAAAATCAGTATATATATGGAGTAAAGCATGCTTGTTATACTCAATGCAGAACCAAAGGATTTGATCCTCTACTTATGTATGCGGGGTCCAGGGAGACCGTATATAGTGAATGCGGGGTCCAGGGAGACCGGATATAGTGAATGCAGGGTCCGGGGAGACCGGATATAGTGAATGCAGGGTCCAGGGAGACCGGATATAGTGAATGCAGGGTCCGGGGAGAGCGGATATAGTGAATGCGGGGTCCGGGGAGACCAGATATAGTGAATGCGGGGTCTGGGGAGACCAGATATAGTGAATGCAGGGTCCGGGGAGACCGGATATAGTGAATGCGGGGTCCTGGGAGAGCGGATATAGTGAATGCAGGGTCCGGGGAGACCAGATATAGTGAATGCGGGGTCCGGGGAGAGCGGATATAGTGAATGCAGGGTCCGGGGAGAGCGGATATAGTGAATGCGGGGTCCAGGGAGAGCGGATATAGTGAATGCGGGGTCCGGGGAGAGCGGATATAGTGAATGCGGGGTCCGGGGAGACCGGATATAGTGAATGCGGGGTCCGGGGAGAGCGGATATAGTGAATGCGGGGTCCGGGGAGACCGGATATAGTGAATGCGGGGTCCCGGGAGACCGGATATAGTGAAATGCGGGGTCCGGGGAGAGCGGATATAGTGAATGCGGGGTCCGGGGAGAGCGGATATAGTGAATGCGGGTCCGGGGAGAGCGGATATAGTGAATGCGGGGTCCGGGGAGACCAGATATAGTGAATGCAGGGTCTGTGGAGACCGGATATAGTGAATGCAGGGTCTGGGGAGAGTGGATATAGTGAATGCAGGGTCCGGGGAGACCGGATATAGTGAATGCAGGGTCTGTGGAGACCAGATATAGTGAATGCAGGGTCCGGGGAGACCAGATATAGTGAATGCAGGGTCTGTGGAGACTGGATATAGTGAATGCAGGGTCCGGGGAGAGCGGATATAGTGAATGCAGGGTCCGGGGAGAGTGGATATAGTGAATGCAGGGTCTGTGGAGACTGGATATAGTGAATGCAGGGTCCGGGGAGAGCGGATATAGTGACTGCAGGGTCCGGGGAGAGCGGATATAGTGAATGCAGGGTCCTGGGTTTAGTAACACTTTAAACTGAAGATATTGTATATGTTTCGGGGACAGTACTTACCATGACAGCTCCAGCAGCAAAGACTGACAACTTGGCAGAGAATTGTACAAATCCAGATGATTTGAAGGCCACGGGTGATGGCTTGTAGTTGGTCACATACACGTTCTGGAAAACACAGTTGGTTATTGATCAGATGTCAGTCTATATCTGAATATATTCCAGAATTAATTAGCAAATCCACAGCCTAGCTAGTATAATCCTGATGTGTGCACATTCAGCAGCAGATGCTGTATTTGTCTTTGGCTTAGGATCATGCTGACTCGGATGCATCGATTGCTGATACGTACATTTAACAGAATGTCGACAACTTTTTTTTGTTGTTTCAAATTGGGAAACAGAACCATGTTTTAAAGCAGAACCCCTATTCAAAAATAACACTGGTCAACACACTTTTTCTGGCATAAGGTATTCCAATGGTTTTAAGGTAATTTTGGGGTGAATCACATGAGCAGTCTGAATATTTATGCAGCTCCAGCCAATCCTGATAAATCACATATGGTAAATGCAGCTTGGTTGGAACTCAGCTCATCCATGGTCTGGATGCTCAGCTAGATGCTGAGTGAGCCAATGGCCGGGCATGTACTGATACCTTACTGAGGCACACTGCAATTATGTCTTCCATTTCAAAGAAGAACACTTTGTGCACCACTATTAGTCCCCTCCCCCCCCCCCCCCCCGCTTCACCTGAATTTTCAGGCTTATTAACTTCTAAAAGTTCTCAGGAATGTCAGTATGTCATGAAATATTAATGCCGGTAGCACACACTGCTTTGGCCACAGCCAGGGGTGTATTTACCACAAGGGAAACAAGGCATTTGCCTAGGGTGGCATTTTTTTCGGGGGGCAGCAATGCCCCCCTGAAGAAGGGACATATGCTGCATGGGGACCAGGTGAGATCTGAGAGAGGCTGTGGGCTGCTTGATGGTGTATGCAGAGCCCAACTGTTGTTCCTGGGGATGGCCAGAGTTGCCAGGGGGGGAGGGTTGTTAGTGGAAGGCTCTCTTGGGTGGGGGGGGATGAGTCAGGGGTATTGTTGGTCACTGTCAGGCTCACTCCACCAGAGAGAGTTGGAGGCGTCCAATTTTTGTGTCCCCTAGGGCAGCACAAAACCTAAATACACCACTGGCCACAGCGCTGGTTTACCCTCGGATTTTGTGTGGTTAATCCACGGTTTCCCATAGACCAGGGCTAGAAATTTCAAGTCCTGAGCTACTAGCCAGCCCTTAAGAGTTACTCACCACCAGTTGCCCCACCCAACCCTTACCCTGCCTAGCCCCTAATTCCAGCCCTAAACACACCCTTGTAAACTATCTCATGAAATGGAAATGTTACATGTTACCCACATTACATCAGGGTCCCCAGAGTCCCTTCATATTACATTAGGATCCCCCCACATTACATTAGGGTCCCCAGAGGCCCCCCCACATTACATTGGGGCCTCCAATGTCCCCCTAAACACTCCATCATACTTAGACCATGCACCGCATACAACCATAACCCCCCATAATCTTTGACTTACAAAACCATAACTCTACCAAGCATATCCTACCTTCTCTGCAACCCAGCAATACCTCAGGTGCCCCATGTTCTACCACCCATAATAACCACATCATCCTGAACCTGACTAAACCACCCATACACGTATGTTTACACACAGACACATGTACACACATGTACACACACACAGAAACATGTACACACATGCACAGAGACACATGTACACACACACACAGACACACACATGTACAGACACACACACACGTACAGACACATGTACATACACACCACAGAGACACATGTACATACACACACAGACACATGTTCATACACACACACACACACACACACACACACAGATACATACATGCACACGTACGCACATACACACACATACACAGGTACATGTATATACACACAGATACATACACACACACAGGTACATGTACATATACACATACACTCAGATACACACACACACACGCGTATGCACATACACACAGACGTACGCACATACACACACAGATACATACACACACAGCTCTATAAAAAGTTGCAGTACTTCCATACCTTCACTCACAGAGCCAGGTACTGCACTCTAGGGGGAGGAAAAAGAACACAGCACACGCTCCTTCCTTTGCTTTCACTGCGCTCAGCTATTGAGCAGTCTGACGGCTCCCAGTGGGAGTGACAGATCCGGCCTGAGCTCCGAGCCTGCTCAGCAAGATGGCCCTGGGAGCACACTCGCCCCCACCATAATTTCCACTCTCTAATGCGAGCAGGCGAGTGCAAATTTCAAGGCCTGTCAGAGACTTTCTATTTGGTTGCATGTGGATGCGTCTTAGGCAGGGGCGGACTGACCATTTGGAAACTCAGGCACTGCCCAAGGACCCAAGGTCAGTAGGGGGCCCCATGAGATGCCCCTAGTACCTTTTTCATAGGCTTTTTTGAGTTTGGGCAAGGACACAGGGGCCCCATGTCCCCTATTGCCCGGGGGGCCCCATGAGTTGTCAGTCCGCCCCTGGTCTTAGGTGTGCTTTCAGAAAATTCACCAAAAACACACAACCCAATAGTCTATGGGAAACCGCAGGTTAACCGCATGAAAACTGTGGGCGCACCTGCCCTGCACCCAAACCGCAAAGCAGCAGTGTGAAACCGGCCTAACTGAAAATAGTCAACTGTCTCATTTATATGGGAAGATACATTGATAACTCACCACACTTTATCAGACACCAGAAGATACCAACTATGAAGGCGAGGACAAAGGCAACCAGAGATGAGACAGCAGAGACATAGAGCTTAACCCTGGATGGAGAATCGTTTGGCGTTTCGTATTCTGGAGAAGTTTGTTCCGGATCTTAAGAAGAAAAAAAAAAATGACAATTTAGCTCATACACAGGTAATCTCTCCAGTAACATTTCTATGCAGGTCTTTGACTATGGGTTTCTTTTTCTGTCTGCATGACATCTGTATGTTCTTCTGGCATTTGTGTGAGTTTCCTCAGGGCACCAAACCCACACCAAGCCTACATAGAAAATGGGCCGTTTAATGCCTCCTAACCAGGGGCGGACTGACCATTTGGAAACTCGGGCACTGCCTGAGGGCCCGGGGACAGTAGGGGGCCCCATGAGATGCCCCTGGTACCTTTTTCATAGACTTTTTTGAGTTTGGGCAAGGACACAGGGGCCCCATGATCCCCAATTGCCCCATGAGTTGTCAGTCCGGCCCTGCTCCTAACCCAACAGGCCCTTACAGAGGATATATATGGTTGGGGATAGAAAGTGACAGTGTGTGAATCCCTTATTTTAGAATATGAAAAACATTGATCACTGCCATTATAATGATGTTGGTGAGGATGTTGAGGTGTAAGTTCCTCTGGTGCAGAGCAGGCCTGGATCTAGGTGGGTGCTGGGGTGGGCTTTGCACCCCCAGATTTTATTTGTGCCCCCTAGATCTCAGAGTACATACAACTAATCCATGAGACTTGATGGGGGCAACTGATGTAAAGGGGCACTCTGATGAGGCAGTTGATGTATGGGGGCACTCTGATTAGGACAGTTGATGTATTGGGGCACTCTGATGAGGTAATTGATGTATGGGGGCACACTGATTAGGACAGTTGAT